GATCTCCAAACTAATCGGATTTGTTATAAGTTATGTCAAAATATTTAAACTGATTGTAAAAATTAAAATAGGATATAAATAGATCATATTCTCTTTAAACAAATTTGACGAAAATACGACAACTAAGTCAGTAGAAAAATCTCATATCTTAAAATAAATATACATATCCGATTTTAGTCTTATATTCTCACCCTGTCAAATAATGTATATAATTTTTGTTATCAATAGGTCCTCACAGACAGTTTGTCTGAGGACTAGCAACCCCAGTGGAGTCTTACGTTGCCATGTGATCAATTTATTTTGTAACTTAAACATCATAGTTTTTAATTATCAAACATGTAACTCAAAGTTAATAAAACAACATTTAAGGGGTTTTTACCTTTACCCTTTACCCTTTACCCTTTATATTTAGTGGCTTCAAACATTCAAATTTTGACAATTGAAATGAAAATTTTTAAATTTTTGGTATCGCGTCACGTCGTTGCAATAAATCAGTGTTTTGTTTGTCCTCATTGGAGAACCATCTCTAAATAAAGCCAAATGTTCGTTTAAAATTTTTTTAAATCTTCGTATCTGCGAATATGAATATTATTTTTTGCAAAGTTTGTTTGTTCTTTGTTTGTGTTTTTTTAAAGTTAGTTCTAAATAATGAGTCTTCTTCTTAAAGTGCCCTCTCCTCAATGAAGGTTTGCTACTACAATTTTAAACTCTTCTCTATCTTCAGCTGTTCTTATTAGCTGTTCAAAATTTCAAAACTTGTTCAAAATTTTAATGAGTAAACTTTAATTATATACTAACATCTTTATTATACTACATATTGAGTTGCAAGTTTTAAACTATAAGATCTGTATTTCTTATAAACTCTATGTCATCTATTGTATTTTAGAGAACTGATGAAGCTTTAGAAATATAAAGCGAAACGTTTTCGATAAACTTATGGAGTAGTTGACTTCTTTTTTAATTTTGCCAACCTGAATGACCGACTAAACCTCTGAATTCACTAGTTGAATACTTTATTAATATAAATTTGACGGTCGTAGTCTTTATATATTATTTATATATATATATATATATATATATATATATATATATATATATATATATATATATATATATATGTACATATATATATATATATATATATCTATATATATATATATATATATATATATATATATATATATATATATATATATATATATATATATATATATATATGTTTGTGTATAGCCGCTTTTTTATAAGACCTCCACTCTTCATCATTTTGGTACGAGAATATAAAATATATTCTACCAAATATGACGTTGACTATTATTTCATTACATATTAAAAAGTATAATTTTGTTAAAAAAACATTTTATTCTCTATGGAAAAAATATTTTGCGTCATTGTTTAGTATTTTGGACACTATAACTAACTCAATTATTATTTTATATAGTTTTAAAATATTTATAAAACAAAATTTTAATTTTGAAAACTTCTCTTTTCATTAAAAAAAAATGAAATAGAACAGTAATTTATTTGAAATGATTAGCCCAACTTTTTTTTTCACTTATCTAGTCTAATTATGGAATTTAATTTATAGAATAAATGATACAAGGAAAACGACTAAAAAAGGAATAAAGATGAAGATATTTGAAAAATTTTACATTTCAACGTTATATCTTCTTTGACAAATTCCATTTTCTTTTTTGCCTACTTATATTCGTATGTGTCGCAAGATATAACGTAGCGTCTGCTTCGTGAGTACACCTAAACGCTAAGTAGGTATTGTTCATATCTACATAATTATCTTCTTCACATGTCGAAAAGGTGTTTCATTGGGTTAGCAGCTTAATATTAAAAGTCAAAGTGTACTCTTATCAACGATTTCGTTATTTCGTTAGATTTCTCTAACTCTTCAGACGAAAGCTACAATAATGTTACAAAATGGTGAAATTGTATAATTTACAAAATAAGATAAAACATTTACTTGTGTGAAGTTGCAGCAAAAAGTTGAGAAAAAAGTCTTGAGATGTTCTTTGCAGTGAATAGAAAAAATGGACAAAAATCCTGTGTAAAACTTTTGTCAAAATTATACACCGCCCTGACAATCTAAATGTATATATATATATATATATATATATATATATATATATCTATATATATATATATATATATATATATATATATATATATATATCTAATGTGGCAATTAAAAATTATTTATTTAATTGAGTTATTTAATTGAAAATAGTTGGGAAAAATAAAAAAACAGTTTTCAAGAAAATACAATTTTATTTACAAAACGTAGTTTTAATCAAACAAGTTAATGTAAATAGACGATTTTGTAATTTTCGTCCAGTTTTACAAAAACGAAACAGGGAAAACGCATGTTAACCATATACTTTTTCAAACAGATCTGAGTCCATTGGTATGTTTTACATTCTGAAGATCTAAGTGACGTCATAGGGTATTTTATAGTAGAAATCTCTGTCTTCTTCATCAATGAAACCTAACATGCTTCCTAAGTTCTTTTTTTTGTTTTCTGCTAAGGGAATCTTTGTTGGTAGAGCAGTAAGCTCCATATATTTAATAGAAATATTTTTCTTGAGGACGTAGCATTTTTTGTCAAACCCATACAATTCACTGAAGTTTTTCTTGGTAATCACATAGCCAGGTTCGTTTTTATCAATCTTGAAATACAACACTTTGGCTATCATTAAATCTTTAGTGTTGATACACATTGCAGATACTTCGTCAAAGTTTAAAAATCAATCTATGCTTACTACTCGGAAAAGTCTTGATGGTCTGGCTGATCTGATTATGTTGTCCACATCTTTAATAGTTTGCATTTTTGCTACCTTAAAACTCTTTTCTATAACTGTGAAGTCCCAGTCTGCTGCAAAAAAGACTGGGACCAGTTACCAAGAACTTATGCTCTACAGGCTCAAATAGGCCCAAAGATACTATGTAAATGTACAAGAAAACCAACATACAGTTTTTGACTTGACCACCACAGTTGTTACTCCATACAAGTTTTTTTCTTGTAAGCCGTCAACATACCTGTATTTAGGGCTTGCAATATACAGTAAGCCATCTGACTCCCTTCTCTCCCTGACTGGCTCTTATGTCATATACTTATAATACCGTCATTGATATCGGTAATATGAATATTAAAATTGTATCAAAATAATTGCCTTAAATAATACATATCGCTATGTATAAGTTTCAGAAGAGAAAATACCTTTTGAAATTCAATCACCACACATCACACGCCACTATTAGGGATTGTGCTATCAGATGCATCTTTGTGTAATGTATTTAAGGCTTTTATTACTTTTTCTATGGCATAGTTCTAGCTCTGTCTTGGCTTTATTTGCTGCAGCGACATCTCTGTTTTTGGTCTAAATATGAAGATAGTCGTACGTTTTACAAGTGTCTACTGTTGGTCTTTTGAACGTTAAATTTGGGAACTCTTTTAAAAATACTTTTCGATCTAATTGGCACTTACAACACTATCTCGATATTTCTGTTTAAAAGCAGCCAAAATCCTAGTCATCTTCAATTCGGAGCTTAAGTACTCCTTTTGGTAATTTGTATAGTGACTATAGTGACCCTCTTCTTGGAATAAAGAATTAATGTAGTTTTTAATCTGTCTCCTGTCATGCTCCGTAAATTTAAATGTAGTTGGGCCACCACGATTATCTTTAAAAACCACGTCACCACTTTTCTTTTTCTTCACAGTAAGTGAGATTTTTTGAGGTGAAACTCCAAAAATATTAAAAAAAGCCTTTTTACATATTTTAAGGAACTTCCAGAATATCATGGACGGACAGGGTCAGAAATGAGGAAGTACTCAGAAGAGCGGGCTTACAGGATAGGGAACTTTTTAATTATGTAAAAAGTAAGAAGACTGCATACTTGGGGCACATTATACGAGGAGAACGATACACTTTTCAGCAACTGATTCTCGAAGGGAAAATAGAGGGTAGGAGAGGTCTCGGACGTAAAAAAATGTCATGGCTGCGCAATATTCGACAATGGACAGGAATCCACAGCTATGAAATGCTTCGCAATGCTGCTAAAAACAGAATTATTTAAACCAGAATATTTAACATCCCACCTGACAAGACGATGTAAGGTGGACGCCTACGCAGAAATGCACGGCACCTTAAGAAGAAGAAGAAGGAACTTCCCTACATCAACAAAATGGTTTGTTGACATCTGGCACATAGATCAACTAGCACTTCCATTACTCCGGGACTTGCGCACAGCGCATTCCGTTGAAATTTATTTAAACCGTCTGGAGAGGATTAGGCACTTAGATCTTTGAGCAGTGCATTAGCGTCAGGACATAGATCATTTTGCAGGAAACAAATAAAATCGGTAAATATGACACATAGAGCGATTAGCATTTCAGGTCTTTAATTACCATACATTTATCGACAAACAATTATTAATATACACATATTAGGATGAACACCTTATACAGTTGTCACTATTGAAGTCACATGGTCAATGAATTAAATACCAAATACCTGGAAGGAAAAGGTGATGGAAGCCTTTTATCAGATCCGGACAGAACAATGTCATACCATAAACATCTACAACACACAGTTCAGATGTTCCTAACGCGCTCTCTGGTTCTAGAAATTAATGAGAAAACTGTTTCTATTCAGTTACCGATAAAATAATTTTAATCTACTCTAAACTCCCTGTGAATGGAACTGCTTCTTCTTAAGCTCCAACTCTTCCTGGTTCAGGTACTCTACTCCTAAGTCGATCTTTGCCAAAAATATTATTTCTTATCGAAATTAAAATTGACAATCTTCTACTGCTTCAACTCTCCGGATCTTGCATCCTCTAAAGAAAATCAGGCAGCCTATCCTTATATCATTTATATTGCTCCATTCACTGAAATTCTCTGGAGGAAGGGCACAACTTTTGTATTTTAACATAATTTAATTTCTTTTTAATACAATATTTATCCTACTAAACTAATAATATACTTCTTTCAGGCGGTCTTCCTTACAAAGTTTATCCTGGCCATGATGGAGTCCTTACGGAAAAGAGGAAACAAAGAAGAATCCGAACCACGTTCACGTCCGCCCAACTAAAAGAATTGGAAAGAGCTTTTCAAGAAACACACTATCCTGATATTTATACTAGAGAAGAAATAGCAATGAAAATAGATTTAACAGAAGCTAGGGTACAGGTAAGAACAGTACAATATTTGTTTTCACTTTTAGTTTTAAAAATGTTTCTCACATAGTTTCTAACTTTCTTAGTGCTGTGAATTTGCAGTTTGTTTTTATAAAGAGAGTTGAGATTACATAATCTATTTTTTTGGCAATATAAATTTTTAAAAATTTTTTCTACACCAATATAACCAATGTAAAGAGTTCTTACGTGTAATATGTTTATTACAATAACATCCAATAAATAATGGATAGACATTGGATCGGTGTTTGATGCTTAGAAGGGCAGTTTGCTCGGATTTTACATGATTTTCATCTTATAATATTATGTGGATGATCATTAATACGACATAGGAAAAGCCAGAAACTTACAAACATCTATACACACTCAAAAATGTTTTACATAATGAAATATTTTCAAAATTATCCACCAAATCTGGTGAAATCTATTTTTTTTTAACAAAATGTTAAAAAAAAACAATAAACAAAATTTAAAGGATTAACAATTTATTATTATTTATAATCTGTTTAATAAATATTTTTTTTAATTTGTACAGATATAAGAACTAATACTTAATATGCCGTATTTCCACCTCTTGCATCAATGCAAGACTAAATGCGATGTCCCATGCTTCTTATAAGTGTATTAATCTAATTACTATTAAACTGGGAATAAGAATAATAACTGTTAAATAAATTCAACATTTCAACAACATTCAAAACAACAAACACGTTGAGATCTATTTTGTCCAAAACCAAACCTAACAATGAACAAGAAAGGACAAAGAATTGCATTTATAAAATACCTTGTGAATGCGATCAGTTTTATTTAGGTGAATCATCAAGGCCATTAAATGTTAGAATAAGTGAACATCAATCTTATATTAAAAATAAAGAATTTGATAGATCTCAAATCTGTAAACACGCATGGGATAATAAACATAAGGTTCAATGGAATAATTCAAATGTAGTCCTAAAAGAAACGGATGGTAAATAAAGAAAAATCAAAGAAGCGGCTCTAATGATGTTAAATGAGGCCAATTGTGTTGCAAATTCCTCGGCAGAATGTAGTAGGATCTGGTTACCAATATTGAAAGAGAAAGTTATTAATAAGAAAATACCAGTATTAGTAAGTCAGTAACATATAGAGGATACATCATTTATGTTTTTTAAATAACGTAACATATAAAATCAGAATTTTGATGTTTGTTGAAGGTAAACACGAACAAATACTTACAATGTCGGGATAGTATTATGAGGTTTTTTTCCTGGTTTTCCCTCATAATTTACTATGGAATCACTAACAGGAGAATTTTACTGTCATCATGTCATGTGTTTGTCTTTTTAAAGACGAATTACATGCTATGATTTTTTTCTGACGGATATTCTTAAGTTAAAGTTGATGTCATGTAATCGAATGAACTATCTTATAAGTAAATTCGTCCCAGGAGCGCAACTCAACAATATTGGCAATATTATTTTAAAGTCGTCTACTTTAAAATGCATAATGTATGCCTGAATTGTCAATATAAATGAGTCAGATAAAATTAAATTGTTAGAAGAATTTTTCACTATGTAACAAAAAACAAAATTTGTTTAATTTACTGTTTGTATTTTGAGAACGATTTCCGAAGTGGAAATTGAAACGTCAATAAACGTATTTTTATCTTTAATTGTGGCTTATTCCCAGTTTAATAGTAATTAATTTACAATGCCACAAGAAAATAGCTTCAGAACTGTATTAATCTAGTTCTGGTTCATGGTGCCTCATTCTTCAATCGCTCCTATTCTAAGGTCTTGTAGTGTTCTTGGGGGTGGCTGCTGGGACTAAATTTCTTTTAAGCATATCCCATCCGTTCTCAATGGGATTGGGGTCAGGTGAGCAAGGCAGCTATTGTAATCTGACGATATCTTCTGTCTCTAAAAATGCTACCACATGTCTCGTACGATGGGGAGGCGCATTGTCGTCCATAAAAATAAATTCTGGACCAACAGCTCCTCGCCACAAGCGTACAACAGGCCTAAAAATGGTATCAATATAAATTTGTCCATTCGTGTTACCAACAATAATAATTAAAGGAGTTTTAATATTTAGCATGATGCCGCCCCAAAATATTATGGAGCCACCTTGTTATGGGTCTATCCTGTCGATTTGGATTCCTGCAAATCCTAATCCGACGATTATCCGACAAAAGGCTAATTTTTGTTTCATCAGAAAATAATACGTTTCCCCATCTATTGTCATGCCATTGTAAATATTCATTGGCTCATTAAAGTCGAGTCCTTTTCTGCTCTAACGTAAGCTTTGGTACAAACAATGGTCTTCTTGTAAATAAATTCGCCAAATGTAATCTGTTTCTAATAGTCTGATCACAAATTACAATAATATGAGCTTGCTGGAGCTCTTTTCTAATAGCTGGGGCAGTCATAGAGGGGTTTCTCCGAGTAGTTAACGTTGAAAAGCGTTCTTGGATATTGGTAGTAATTCTGGGTCTTCTGCTTTTCGGACCATCGCTAACAGAATTCGTCTCTCGATATTTTTTCACAATCCGAGACACATCACTCTGGTTAACTCCAACCTGGACAGCAACGTCGACTTGTGTGTGGCATTATTAAATCAAAGTAACGATTCTAGCTCTGTTGCACTCAGATAACACTTGTCTATTCATATTGTTTACTACAAAGTGAATAAAACGCAAACCAATTTTTACAAATATCGGTTTTCGAAAACTGACGAACGCAATATGAATACTGAGAATCTCCACAACGATTAAGAAATAAAAAACAAGCAATAAAATACATTATTTTAGTAGACAAAAAAAAATCAGTGTAAAAAATTTCAAATGAGAAACGTTTAGTGGCGTTACAGATAATATGCAAATCATTTTTGAATGTGCGTATTCTGGACTAATTTATGTTCCTACTATGAAACTCCATGCCAATTTTATCTTTGTAGGTTTCGTGGATACTAACAAAATAAGCATATTCAACACAAGCATAATTCCTAATTTATACTTTTGTATACTCCTAACAGAGTATACAAAACACAAACAATGTTATTTTTATTGTGTTTGTTATTTTTTGAGTATCTTACTAAAAATATCAAAATAAAAGCTTTGATGTGTGTAAATATTCTCCTTCGCTGAATCCCTTTATTACCCATCGTCAACAAAGGGCACGTTTTCATCACTTTCTAATATGTCAAATGTAACATAAAACGATTATGACCAGATCTAATCGGTGCAAGAGGTTGCATCAGGTCGAGACACGATCGTTTTGTTGTTCACAACTATTCGAGAGAGTATGTAATGTGTGTAGGTCACGTGGTACGTGTAATTGGATACAAACAGAGGAATGGTGATCGGCTGCGACGCGTTTTATTCCTCTTAGCCGTGAAATTGTCCTTTAGCATAATGACAAAGCCCTACAAGGCCTGTTGACAGTGTTAACATCATCATGGAGGTCGCACGGGGATCGTTTACATTTTGCCAAGTTGACTTCAGAGAGAATAGAACTAGTTCTATGTTCGGGCGACTAACGAATTTGCTAATGGGGTGGATTTTATTAGATGATATGGGAAGATTATATTAAAGTATATATTTTGGATGTCAATCCTATTAGTCGCTGCATTTATGTACTTTATATTTAATGTCATTATCATTGTGTAATATCAGTCTATGGATCATGAATATTTATGCATCAAACCTTACGTCATATTGTGTTGATATACTTGAGAGAAAATTCTAGTAAATGATGGTGTAAATACAAATATTTAAAATATATAAAATATTACTACCCACATAAAAAACAAAAGAGGAATAAAACTATTTTAACATAATATTCATGAAACTATTTAAGAATACAATTAAAATAAAATTTAAATTTTAACATTTAGTAGGGATAAATGATGTAAAAATATACAAAAGTAGTAAATTCTATTTAAAGGATAATTGTAATAATTCCTTGCATATATAACTCAATAAAAATGAAGATATTAAAAGTGTAATGTTAAAAACCCTTCATAAAATTTCATATTTTATCTGCTTTTACTATAGGCAATAATTTGTTTCTTGTCAATAGTTTTTATATTCGGTTCTCCACGTACTTGGAACAACTAATACAAAATATATTGCTTCATTGCTTTTTAATTGAAATTCATACTAACAATTTTGCAACTACTTGATTTATATGAACTGAAACAAATAAACAAAAATAATAATAAAATTAAAATGAAAAAAATTAACTAAACTACTATCACGTGATTGTGTTTGTCCTATAAGAGTATATTGTTACAGTTCCCTCGCAGCAGTTTTATTTTGTTCTGTCTAATGTCACAATTGAACTCAATGCCCTTTTTCGTAATATAGAAATAACAAATAAATATATACATAACAAATGAAAGGTAGGTATATAAAATTTTTGCACACATTTGGGTGTATACTAGTTCGCTCTCGCTGCCTTGCACGCAATTCTTAATTTAATATGTACCTAGTATTGTAAGTTTTCAATCATTGAAACGAACTTTCGAAAGGTTACGAACGAAACCCTTCTATCGCATGGCATATATCGTTTCTTATGCCAAGTGAGGAACTATCGAGGACCGAAGACCGAAAATAATGAGTATTGGCTGTGTGATTTTGTTTTGGTTCAATCTCGATCGGCACCATCGGCGGTCAATCAATAGATATTGGTCACAATACGATTCGATCGTTATGAACTAGCGGGATTCGGTCGTTCAATAATTTGAAGTGATTGAATCAAAACGAACCAATCAATCGCGATTGATACATTATACTAAAACAATTTTTAATTGAAGGTGATTACTTGGCAACATCACACTTAAGAAAGCCTTTAACGATAACTTTTCAACGAAATCATATTCCACTTATCCATTTTGCGGAGGCGTACCAAAAAAAAATTTAATTCACTTAATGTGGTTTATTTGCCGCCGAGATTAGATTAGAAAGGTTCTGATGTAAAAGACATTGATGATAATATTATTTGTGAAGAATCAATAAAATCGGATATTGCAGGTACATATAAAATACAAGTGATTGGGAATTCTGACGATTCTGATTATGATATTCCTCTGAATCACAGATAAAACGTCCAAAGACCAGGCAAAAATAGTAAATCCAAATTTGTCTCAAGTTGTAACAACACATACTCCTTCGTGCTCAGTAATAATTCAACATCAGTCTGATTGATATTTAGACAATATAAAAGACAACTAACTATGGAGGCAAGTCATATATTATGATATACTCTTTTTTGATAAAAAATAATTAAGAGCATTCTATATTTTACAAATATTTATGCATCGCAAGAATAACCGTCACGATTTTGAAATAAATAACATAGATTAAAAAACAAATATTAGCAGATGTATATTATCTCGTTCACACTTTGCTTCAAGTTGATATGTGTTGGTCAAAGGATGAGGATGAAGAAGTGCACATTATAAGAGAAAGCATGAGCCGACATAGATTTATATTTATAATTTATAATATTGCAGAAACCGCTACGTCAGTGTCAAACTTAGTACATGGATATCAATCTAAAT